TTGTCATGTGAGGCCAGTGCTGCTTGATGTCCTCCCATTTCGAACAAACGGAGGCACCTTCCAGGCTGGGAATTACGTTTACGTCCAGCGACGCCTGAAAACTGCTATGCAGTGATGATATCTCGACAGAGCCTGACATCATGCTGACGTCGTTTCTTCCGCTAACAGTGCCAAGCTCAAAATGTACTTCTTCGCCTTTCAGGCCCAGTTCATCAGCAGCAGCCTGGCTGAGAAAGCTGGCGTCCGAACATGGATCCAGTAGTGCATTCAGCTTTAGGGAACGATTTTGGCACCGTACTACTACTGGAGCCGTTTGGAACGCGATCTTGCCGTTTTTCTTCTCAGGATCCAAGGATGCGACGTTGAAACTTGTACCAGGGGTGACTCCACTTCCTTCCGAGTTCCCTGGAGCTTCCACGCTGATGTGCTCTTGAGCCGTCCGTGGTATGAATTCTCGTGCTTGATGATTCATCTGTTGGCGACTCCCTTGCACCCACTTCCCTGTTTCTGATTTGGCATGACGTGGCTTTTCACTCCCATTGGCATGCAAGAGGCTGTGGTGGGTTCCTCCGCATCCTTCTATACTGCACCCAGGAAACTTCCGGCAGTTCATCCCTCGGTGTTTTCCAGCTAGGCATCTGAAGCATATTCCTTCACTTTTGCAGAAGCCGTATCGTCTGGCCACATCCCAGCTTTGCAGTTCAGCGCAGCTTTCAGTAGGGTGTTTCGTCTGACACACCCAGCAGCTCGGTCTGCTGGTTGGACGACTCGGCTGTTTCCGGGAAGAAAATGTCTTTTTCTGTCCACGACTCGTTTTGAACGTCGGCACATTTCTCTCCTTGCTTGAAGTAGTGGTTTCCTTTGCCTTTTTCTCCCACATTGCCTCTTCAGCCAACCAATTGGCAAATACTTCAAAACTGTCTTGCCGGCCCACAGTACTGAGCCATCTGTGGTAGTTTTTAATGTAGGAGTGGTGTAACTTTTCCGATACCAGCATGTAGAAAGCTGACACTTCTGACAGGTCACCCTCCGAGCCACTTTCTTTGAGACAGGTGACGAGACTCAGTATTTTGTCAGAGTACCTATTCTTCCAGTCTTTTGGTGTCGTTTTCGTCTATCTTCGGGTAGCTTCGAATTTCGTTCATCTCGCTCCTTACTCGCCTTTCCCATCCACCGTATTTTTTCTCCAGCTCTTCTCTTGCCTTTGTGTATCCTGATTCAGTCAACCGGTAGCGTTCTACTATCCGAAGAGGGTCGCCACTCAAACTATTTTTCAGATACACCATCTTAAGTTCCGCTGAAACGTTAGCGTTGCCCACAAACGCGTCGAAAATCGCACACCAATCACTGTATCCTTTGTGTCCATCAAAGTTGGGCAGTTCGGGTAGCTTGATTCCTTTTATGGCTGTTTCATTTGTTCCATGACGATTCTGACTTTTTTCTCGTTCTTTCCTTCCGTCACTTTTTTCTTGTTCTGCCTCTACACTGGTTTCTGCAGCGGAACTGTTCTTTTCACAATCGATGTTTTCTGTCAATGCTCTTCTAATGTATCTGCTTGTGACATTCACCGACTCTTGAACGCTAGCTTCCACGCTGTGATACATCTCCCACAAGGGGCCCGATTGCACTTCACCACCGTTTGTTTCCTCCCAGATCGCTTCCACCACATCCAGTAGTTCACCGGCCTGTTCTCCGAGTTGGCTAGTAATCGCTTGCAGCTCTGCTACTGATGGGCTTTGGCTTCCAATTAGATCATTTAACTTGCTCTCACTCATACGAATTTCCTTCAGAATCCGTTGTTTTGTTCTCATTTTGCTCTCTGGCTTCTGTCTGTCCATAGCTTCTTCATTCGATGGATTAGCCATTCTGCGCGGCTTTCTCATGTCTAGGTCACATGCACCAGGATGTTCTAAATGAATCTGTGTATAACCTCGCGTTGTGTATTATCTTAACATCTTAACGATATTTCTTAAGAAGTGATACTTTACTTAATTCTTAATGCTACTTCAAAACACCACGGTTGCTCGGTTCCAACAACTTTACTTTTATTGCTCTTCTCGTATTTTCACTGCGCGAGATATGCACCTCGCGCCATGCCTGCTACTCATCCTCGTCTACAGTAGTATTAGCCGTTTTCACGACGGGCTATCCGGCGAATGCACCTGATTTGACCAAATCTGCACCTACTTTCTTTTACAGCAAATATCTTCATTTTATGAATTTATTTCAGAGTTTTAATCGATGATGCTCTCTGATAATATGACAAAGCAGGCATATAAGCAATTAGGTAGTGCAACCCTAGCTGATAGCTGCTAAGAGACACACTGAACCTGATTTGACCAAATCTGCACCTAATCTGTACCAGATGTGCACCAAATGTGTACCAGATGGCCGTCGTGAAAACGGCTATTCTGTATTATTGTTCATTTACGGATTAGGTAACCAACATCAACCAGACACGAATTTTCGCTGAGCCTCGTAAAGACTGGTGTAAGTTCCACATATCGGAATAGATACACCACATCCTCTTGCAGATTAAAATGAGTGCTCACGTGAATACCAACTGATCTAAAACATACACCGTATATTGTCTAATATTGTAATTTGTTTTCATGCGACTTTTTCATTGCTATAGAACATAAAGATAAAACAGATAATTCTTATATCGCATAGCGACTCAAGAAATCACGGAGTCTTGAGGCCTCGTATTTTTAAGTATGGGTTCCAACAAATATTTATACGATAGACAGAAAAATCAATGTGAACGTGACACCAAACACGAACCCCAAATTTTCATGGGATTAGCTACAGCATTAGATCCCAAGTCGCAAATGCGGTCACATATAAGATAATGCTTCTCAATCGAGCGGTAAAACTGTCAGGGTTTTCTTCTTCTTCTCCGTCTATTCCATCCCGCATATTTTGCATTTTCCCCGTCTTTTCCTTTTTATCAGGGTGGTAGCACTTTGGTAAAGGAAAGAAATGACGCCCAAGCCTGTTAAATTTGTGATGTTCTGACGTTCCGCTAATAAAGTACTCATCGGTATGCATCGAAGGTATCGCTAGCCGGAGCTGGCTGGCTCTGTCACATAAAATTCGCCGCGTATCGCAGCTGGATTAGAAACGACGCTCCAGACAACGTATGCTGCAAGCGGTTTAACATCGTGACTGCTCAATGAAACCCTAGTTTTTTTTATGAGCATCATGCATTTCATTTCGGTTCCGCCTTGTATCTCCTTTTCACTTATGTTCTTTCTTTGTGTCCGTCACTCCTCGCTTTCGCCATCTCTGTGTCTCCGCCCGCCATCACTTTCTTGTGCTGCCCTTTCAGCGCCAGTGCGAGGGGCGGTCCGCGCGCTGGACGATTGTGGTGCCGTCTCCCCCTACCCCGGCGCTGCGATAACGTTTAGCGAACAATCGCTCGCCGCGCACTGACCGTTTCCCGTCCTCTGCTGTGAAAGCAGAAATCTATCTTGCTGCCGTGCGTGCTGGTATAAACTCTCAACGGACGCATTTACATATAATATAACCACGAGTTCGCAGCACGCGTTGCTTTCATCATCTCACCAGCCACCAGACAAGAAACGCCACAATAACATTGAACACTCTGACTGAAGCTTATCCTCAATTATTAGAAGCGACTGTGCAGTTTGCAATGAAGATCAGCCGACGATCGATGGTTCTAATAGGCCGGCAGCAGATTTTGGCCTGGTCATGAGTGATTATTCATGACGTCGTGCTGCCATGGACGTGTCAGCCTTTGTCACGCCACGAAATGGCGAACGCCGGACAGGACCTCGCCAGGGTAATTCCGAAACTCTCACGCGAGAAAGATAATGATGGACTGGCTGTGCATATCACTTCGATCTCAGATAGAAACGTTGCAGAGCTTTGAGAATGTCTAATCAAATAGTTATTTAGTGCACGTAAGTATTATTTGTGCTTACTCAAGAGTGTTTGTGCCAGTACCTACATACCTTACCTACCTGAAGTTGGTTCGAGCAAAGCTTGTATAATGCGTAGTCTTACTTGCTAAAAATTCTATCAAACTCGATTACCTATATGTCTTTAGAAAGACCGTTTGAAAGGTTTTCCGTAGTTTCGATGCTTGGACTTACAATTTTTACAATCTTGAAATGGAGAAAACTGTTAAAAGCTATTTGCATATAGCACAATCATTTTTACGCCGCAACGTAGCTCAGTCTCGTTTCGATCGCAAGTTTCATTAACCATTTACTAAGTTAATGTTTCTGGAGGGTGTGCTATTTCCTGCTAATATACAGCTTCCTGCAGCGTCCGACCACAACTGGGCGGCTTTGAAGCTGGGCCAGGGACTCTGTCATCCGTGGCCGGCGGACCTAACCGGTCCCGGAGCGGGTGTCTGTGCCAAGTCGAGCACTGGCCTGCCGCCCTGTTACAGCCTCTGTCCGCCAGCTCCGGGCCGCTGCGGGACGCCGTAAACGTCCACAGAGGTTGGCCCAGTCGAGACAAAATGAAAACCGACCCGGCCCGCCCGAGCGCCGGGGCCGGTACGCGCCGCGGAGACTCAGACCAGGCGAAATTCGATGACTGTGCCGTGACTGGGATGCCCGCCGCCAGTAATTGTGCAACCATTCCACGATAACGCGGCGAGCAGCGGCGCAGGTTACGTGATTGGAAGCAGCGGCGGCAATCGGGACGATTCTGTCCTGCTCGGCGTCGTATTGAGCCGCTCCCTGGCGACTGCGACATCCTCTCTCTTCGGTATCGAGCCTGGGCCGCCAGACCGACCTTGACTGCTTGGATGCAGCCCAGCCGGGCGCGGTCAAATTTTACTGGTGTTATCGGTCTGGCGACCAGCTGAGATAGTGGCCAATGACCACAGCTCGGAGAGTACGAGACAAACTAAATAGCCGGCCGCATGATAGTGGTGGCCTCTGAGATTCCCAGCGCCCTTTCTGCTCTCAGTTTGATACTGCCCTTCTGGATAAGCCAGTTGATGATGTTTCGTTCATTTTCAGTATCTGAGGAAGCGACTGAAAATCCTGCGGCGGCTCCGTGGCCTCAGCTCATCAACGGAGGCACCGATTTTACAAGCGCTCATCAGAGAAATCACGGTAAGTGCTGGCTGGGGAGGGGTGACGCTTTTGCGTCTGTTATGATTAGTAAGCGAATCCGTGGCCGTGCCACCAGATAACATAATTTGTCCATACCCCTGGAGAAAATTACTTACATTTGCATCCATCTCGGCGTGAAATCCACCACATTAGCCTTGTCACCTCAAAGCCCCACGAATTCCTCTGGTGAGGATTCTCTCCCGGCTCGCCGATGGTGTGCTGATGGTTCGAGTGTGATAATTCCCTCTCAGCCAGTAGTCTCGTCGTAAGGAATTTCCACATCAGCTCGACCACGGCACGGCCGGCGGCCAAAGCCGCAATTAGCGGCCCCCCGGGAGCCGTGGTCGCCTGATTAGACACACTCGGTCCGTGCCACCGGTCGGTGGCTGAGAGGCGGCACGGACCGCTGCCGGTCCGGTCAGGGGGTTCGGCCGAGTGGCCGCCGAGTGGACCGTGCTGAAATTCCTGTCCACTCAGCAGAGAATGGTCAATGGAAGAGCCGGGGGCGGCTCTCGAAGGGATTCTTAGAATACGAGTATGATGAGGATGTCTATTTTTGTCATGAATATTTCTAGGAAATTGATTTTATGTGTATAATTACATTAAATTCGCAATAATTAGATACAAGTAGTTACGATGCATTTAATCAATAGATTCCCATACACACAACCGTCGTCGAGCGTCCACCTGACGACACTCATATGGCCCCTGGCCTGTTTGGAGCGGTAACGCACCACCCGCAGCTGTCACGTTCGGTCCTCCCAATTGCCGGTATCGACTCGCGGTATCGAGCCCGCGGCAGCGCGCCGTTCATGGTGTGACGCCGTTCGCTGGAGGGCCCTCTGCCGGACCGTGGGTAAATATTGACCCATTACGGGTATGCGCCGCCGGAGGCGTGGCACCAGATTGGCGGGAGACGGGGTAAATGGGAAAACGGCGCGGCGCCGGCGTCATATACCGTCCGACCAGGAGATCGTGTACACACCGTGTGACGGCCGTAGGGTGCGGCTCATTGGGAGATGGTGAGAAGTCAGCTTATGCCCGCTTCTTCGTCGTTCAACGCTGGTTTTATAACGAATACGTAAGATATGATTTATAATTCCTTCTGGATCTTGTAGTGAGAGTTATTGTCCTGCAATTTACAAAAAGTCATGAAATGCCACGTTTTTAAATTGTACTGATATTCATTTGTCCATAACACCACAGTGTTTAGAAGCCAATGCTGTGATAATTCACGTTTATCGTACTTCCACACAAGAGGTCAGAACACGATTGTTATTCTTTTTCTTACTCCGATTGTTATTTTGGCGCAGTAAGTTCACTGTGCAGTTGATGCTTGAGGGCCCATAACAGCTCTTGCAAGCTGCTCCTGCCCTATATTTAGCTGGCAGTGATAATAGAGAACCACGTCTCTGGCGGTTAGTTTCCTTTACCACCCATTTGTTATTGGGCTGTCAACAGCAGTCAGCAGTGCTGGCAGGGTACGGGACCCCCGGGTCCTGTTTCATCATACCACATCGATTCCTGGATAATCTACCATCATAATTGTCTGATGTAACAACTCTCCCGAATAGACGTCACGATGTCTGATTTACGAACCGCAGAGGGCACGAGTGGTCACAAACGGCCACAGATGGTCAGCTATGTTACCGCAGATCATGGCATGTCACAACCGGTCACCGAATGATCACTTACGATCACCTATTGGCAATTGGTCACTATCGGCCTTCAATCGGTTACTACCGGTAACTAATCGGTTACTACCGGTTACTAATTGGTCACTGCCGGTTACCAATCGATCACTACCGGTTACCAATCGGTTACTAGCGGTTACCGAATGATCACTACCGGTCACCAATCGATCACTACCGGTCATTTAAAAGTCATTAGACGGCCACTCTGCGGTCACCACGCGGTCACCGGACGGTCATCCAACTATCCAGCTCTCCTGCCACTGAATTGCCAGCTCGGCAGCCCTGCAGCCAGTGCCGTCCGGGCGGCCTGCTGACCGCCAGTAACAGATGGCCGGTGGACAGGCGATAGGGCTGTGGCCGCCCGTGGGCGCGGTCACTTCATCAGGCTCGGGTTTATTTTGGGTCGGAGGAGCGCGAGGTAGCTCTGCGATCGCTCCAGCGACTTTGCGACTCATGTACTGAATGGAAGCTGAGAGACAAGACAATCTAAAAGCAGCACAAAATTCCGGTTCCAATTACACTTTAATCAATTGACGTGTGTTAGGCTTTTGTAAATAATCACTATATTTTCTTTTCCAGTCTTATACGCAACGCATGCGGCATGGCAACGCCATCTCATGAACAGACAACTTTCAGGGAATTATAAGCGCAGCTGATTTTTTTTTTTAACATCCAAGTAACTTTCACATTCGCCTTTGCCGAACGGCATTTTCGCTTCTGCGGGAAGAGTGCCAGGTCTGAATCCTTTTCGTGTCACTAGGCCATATTTCTGGACCGTCCCGGATTGACTCGCTCCGACCGGGATTTGTCGGTCTCGGTGTGAGACTGGGCTCCGTTCAGCCCCGGCTCGGCACACTGTGACGGTGACAGCGGCCGTAACTCGCCAGTCCGACTGAGCCATGGCCCGGGCTCGACAGCAGACCGACAGAGGCCGGGCTTTCATCTGGGGACCTGACAGATAGACCGCGGTCGGGAGGCCGGTCACCCGGTGAATACGGAATATTCTGTTCGAGAAAATGCAATAAACACTAGAGCACTTCACGGATAGGCTTTTTAGGATCCGGCCCGGCCCATATCCGGCAAGTCATATCCAGATCCGCCCATTATCTGCCTTTCTTTGAATATCAGAATCCGGCCCACCCATGGCCCGTATTGCAGCCAAGCTTCCAAAAAATATTCGTAATAATCCGTTTCACCAATTTTCATTGGTGTTTCACCATTTCACCCTTTCACCAATCCACACCAATCACACTTTCACCAATCACCAATCCTTTCAGTTTCACCATTTCACCAATCCGGTTTCACCCAAAACTGGACTAACAAATTCAATCTAAGGGACCAGACAGCCATACATCTCACAGACCATCATGGTTCCAAAAACCATGCTTATAAACCTAAAACCACATGAAAATCACCACATTGGTAAACTAGGTATCATCCTTCAATAGTAATACTTGAAGACAAGTCTTGTGACAAGTGAGTGTCATAAAATGATGCCTATTACTTTAATCAAACCTCTGCTGCCGCTTAACACATTAGGTTAATTTTTAACTTCAATGTTGAATGTTAAAATTTTGATCCGTTTTGATCCGGGTTCAACCTTCAATTCCCAAATCCGGCCCGCCCATATCCGTTCTTTTTTAACAAATTTAGAATCCAATCCTATCCGGTCCGCGGATTTATCCGTGGATAACGGATTTATCCGGCCCATGAAGTGCTCTAATAAACACCATACGAAATTTTGAATTAAAACGTAACTTATGATGCAAGCTTTAAATGCACATTGCACATGAAGCCTGTCCGGTAAAAATAACTACTCAGGTCAGGCTGGCTTAGCTTTGTCCGTTTAACAGTTACGCAATGCTCAATAGATTAAAGACTTTGTTCATTGTACGCAGATCAATGATAAACGCTGTCTACAGTACGGAATAATGAATAAGGGTCGCTAGTCGCTACATAAGTAAAAAAGGTAGGTAAGCTTTGCAGCTTAGTGCCATTTTAAAACACCATGCGCTCGATAGAAAATTATATTTCATATTTTCGTATCGAAGCGGGAATGAATCGCATCGGGAACAAATATAAACATTGGCTGCCACCCGTAGCATAGTTTGCAGACGTAATGACATGATGTGGAGATGGAATTAAATTGATGAAATACTAGGACTTACTCCACAAGGAGATCGAATGGGTCGGAGCGCTTTCAATATGTATTATACATATCGTCGTCAGCGAATCAATAACGGGTCGAATCGAGTCGGGTATCGAAGAGGTTCGGGAGCTGCGCGGCAGAGCGATCACATACTATTCGAATTATGCATTAAAGAGAATAAAAAAAAAAAACACGTGAGAACAATCATGATACACTAGCTGCTAAAATGAATTAAAATGGGGTGCTAAAATGCATAAATGGCACGTATAAAAGTACAATAAGGGGGGGGGGAACAGGATACCTATGGTGATAAAGACTGAGTAGAAAAGGGAACAAAGACTATACAAAACTGAGTGCAAAAACTGTAAAAGGACGAGTACAAATATAAATACATACAAAGGCCGAACTAGACGTAAACACTACTGACAAAAACGGCGGATTATCGGCAGCCAGCGGTCATGCAGCAGGGCACCCGAGTTCCTGTTCACGTTTGCGTCATTCGGCGACACCAGGACGGCTTCACGCTCGATTCGACCCGTTATTGATTCGCTGACGACGATATGTATAATACATATTGAAAGCGCTCCGACCCATTCGATCTCCTTGTGGAGTAAGTCCTAGTATTTCATCATAGTTTGCAGACGTATTTATCAGCGCTGCCACCCCAATGACGTCATTTTCGGCGCCGGTGATGAACGTCACTGAGTTGGCGGACTGGTGGCCAGCTGTGGCCGGCACGATTGGAACACTGGACGAACCTACGGCCAATTTCCACAGCACGGTGCTCAAATAAAGATCGGCTGACATCCCTTGATTACAATTTGTGAAACATTGTCATTCCAAAATTAAAATATCGATGTTAACACTTAACGAGACCGAGCTTGACGATGCAATTTTCGCTGTTTCGACTTTCAGTGACGACTTTGCCCTCTTGTAGGATATAGGAAGTCACAGGGGCGCGAGAACTACTTTCCGACTGGGGGGGGGGGCACACTATAATAGAGATCAACCTAGGGTACCCCCAAATCTAGTTTTCTCACCGGTTTTAGGCCACTTATTTTTCACCCCTCGGCTTTTTCAACAAAAAAAAAGAAAACATTTGCAAAAAAATGTGGTTTTCCGTCTCAAAGCTGTGGGGGCACCGCCCCCACGGCCCCAGAGTTGGGGGCAAGCTGCCCCCACTGCCCCCCGGCTCCCGCGCCTATGGGAAGTCATTCACAACCTACCTCCCAATCTTGCTTTCAACCCACGCCCCACTGGGGGGGGGGGCTATTCATAGCCCCCTTCCGTTTTTCTGCAATAACTTCCAAACCGCTTGACGTATCGACGCCAAACTTTCAGTACCTTCGGCTGCATCAATTTGACACCTTGGCCTCGTTTCATAAAGCTAGTCCGTAAATTACGCTGGTTTTTGGGCTTGTATTGCAAGCGCATGTAAAGCGATAAATTTATTTCCCCTTCTCTCTTCTGTTCTTGCTTGCAAGATAAATAAATTCAACGATTCAAACTATCGTCATCGCTTCACATGCACTTGCAATACAAGACCAAAAAACCGGCGTAAGTTACGGACTCGCTTTATGAAACGGGGCCGTTGTGTCAAAATAGGAACTTCGTAGCTACCATAGGTCGGCCGGAAATGTGAACATGACGTCAGAGTGACGTCATATTCGGCCGATTTCGACGCAACACATTAAGCCACGGCAATCGCTCCCAAGAGCTCAGTTTTTAAGCTAAATCCAATTTCTTTGCATGAGAGGACTCAGAATAGACTGCGCTATCAAACTGTAATCTCGGATTTTCAAAATTTTGAAAATTATGAAAATTATATAAAATAGAATTCAAAATTTATATTTCTATAACATTTTCAAAAACTTTTTGACTTCTAAAAAAGGATTATACGTATGTGATAGAACACATGCCTATTATGACGACTTACTCTAGCAAGTTTTAGCTAAATATCTTCAAAAATGGCCAAGTAATACGCATAAATTTCAACTTCAAAATTTGACCTTTTTTGACCTGAAAGTGACCTGACCTTAGCTACATTCAACTCAAAATGACCTCGAATGACACAAACGACATCAAATTTGAAATATATGGCCAAACTGGACCATAAAACATGTGTCACGTGACCGACGCATGATATAACATTTCCGTGACCTGAGATGACCTGACCCTGATCTGAAAATCAAAGTACACGTTTGGTACCCTCAGGGTATCTAAAGCATCTGTTCACGAGTGTGTAAACCAAAAATGAGCCTGATCTGACTCGTAAGACGGCGGCCAGAGCCTTAAATGTGAACAAGCAATTTTTACTTTGACCTGACCTGTGACGTCATCGGTGATCTCGAGGTCAATGAAATTAGGTTTCGTTCGACAGTTTGTCCGGGGCTATCAGATGCCGTTTAAATTTTGACAATCGGCCCAGTAGTTTCGAAGTTAGGAGGGGGGCTATGAAGAGCCCCCCCCCCCCCCAGTAGGGCGCGTTATACGCAGACCCCAGTGGGGCGCAGGTTAACGAATACTTACCGGTTTATATAGCCTTGCCTATTCAATGTTATACAGGGTGCGCCATAAAGATTTACCCATCGAAAAATGCACTGTATTTCCAAACGAGTTGACATAGGTAAGCCATTTTTTGCACACAAGTCACGAGACTATCTCCGAACAGGCTAGTCTGGCCGATTTCAGATGTGTTCGCCTTTTGCCTTGATCACACGTCTGAGACGCGAGGGCACTTCAGCGCACGTCCGCCGCACGGTCTCCTCGCTGATCCCCTTTCACGCTCTGAGGAGGTCGCGTCGCAGGTCGACCAAGCTGCTGTGGGGGACGTGGCAAGCCTGGCTCTCTAAGATAGACCAGATGGAAAAGTCCATGGGGTTCAGGTCTGGGCTGGACGGAGGCCAACAGTCCTTGGACCAGAACGCGCTCATGTTCTGCCGGCACCAGCTCTGGGTGTTGGCCGCTGTGTGGGCCGGCGCACCGTCTTGAGTGAAGACATACTGGTCGCCGTACCTCTCCTTCAGCCAAGGGAGCACTTCCCTCTCCAGCATCTGCACGTAGATGGCGCTGTTGACCTTGACTCCAGGTTCCACGAAGACCAGAGGAGATTTGGAGCCGTCAGAGCCAACAGCAGCCCAAACCATCATGCTTTCTGGTTTCTGTCTTCGAAAATGATACTTTTTTGTTGCAGGCATGTCTTCGGTACTCTTGGCGTATACCCGGTCGTTTTGGTTGTTGGATACTGACTCTACGTTGAAAATCTTCTCATCCGACCAGATAAAGGCCTTTTGACCGGCGGACTTCATCTCTTCCAACATTGTTGTTGCCCTGCTCAGTCGCTTTTTCTTGGAACTTTCTGAAATCGTGTGCCGCTTTGACATCTTGTAGGCCTTCATTCTTAGCCTCCCTTTCACGAGTCTCCTCAAAGACGTTTTTGAGATATGCATCTCTTTTGACATCTCCCTCAAACTCCTCCTTGGATTTCTGGCTATTCTCTTCTTTACGGCCTCGGTGACACTTGAAGTTAGTACAGATCGTTTTCTGCCTGGAATTGGTCTGTCAGATGTTGTGCCATTCTCATTGTACCGTTTCATTACATTGTAAATGGTTTTACGGCACGCACCGACCTGTTTTGCAACGGCCCGGTCAGTGAAGCCGGCATTTTTTAGTGCAACGATTTTGTCACGTCTGCTTGTCCGGGTCATGGTGCATAAACTGTGTCATTCACCTAAAAAATAATTTGTTTTACATAAAAGTCACGTGTTTGCCTCGCGCATGCGCAATTTTCGGACCTCTATGTCTAAAAATAAAGTTTTGGCGAACAAGTTTGTGATGGGTAAATCTTTATGGCGCACCCTGTAGGTATACTCATTTCACAAAATTGACGATGACAGCAAAAGTTGAGCGCTGCATATAGATTATAGTGCATTACCTACTCACAAGTCACAGGTACCTATGAGATAAAGATGCCTTCCTTCACTTTAAATGCCTAGTTCAAATACTCCACGACCGAGAACTGTGGCTGCAACAATCTGCGAGGAATCCCAGCGCTGTGACGGCCGTGACGATCTACGTATGTGCTGCCGACAGAATGTTCTGGAGCCGGCGGAATCTGTGACTGGGAGTCAGCCAGAAGAAGCCGACATGCTCGTCTCTCAGCCACAGCTCACCTACATGAAGGGCATCCAGGTTAGTCGGGGCATAAGGGAGCTGGTCAGTCAGGTCAGTCGGGTCAGAGGGGAAGCCACCCAGCCAGAAATTTGGTTTGGCTCTAGTCCATTTTGCCCCCGCAAATTCGACATGCCAGATTTGGGCCGCAGTAAACAGACGCCGTTGGAAGAAGGGGGTTGGGTCGGTATGGCTCTATTCCGGCTAGCCAGTCTTTGACGTAGCGCTCCGGAGTTGGTATGGTTTCGGACCGCCAAGTCCGGCTCAAGTCCGGCTCCCTGCCATGGCGTTGCTACGGCCAGGTCCGGCTGTCTCTTAGCTGCTCTGGCTTACTGTGGCTGAAGTACGGTTGAGGTACGGCATGCGGCTGATGCGTCATAAGTCCGGCTGTGGTGCGGGCGAGGCCGCGAGCTCTGGGATCGTGTGTCAGCTCCAGTAGAGCTCCAGAGTCCAGACCTTACCCGTACTTCGGCCGGAGTAAAGTGCCGGAGCTAGCCAGGCCAGAGGAAAACCGGGCTACGGCCCAGACCATTTTTGCTGGCTGGGCAGGGCGCTGCGGGGTTCTGTTGGTTCGCCTGGGAAGGTGTAGTTTTCTCGGCGCCACCATCCATCTGCCGGAAATGAATTAGTGGGATTATGAACGAGAAGAAATGCGGCAATAAACAACGGTACGTCACATGACCGGATCGATTTAGTTATTTATGGTCGTAACTTTGTGGTGTGTAGCGTTCGTGCCAGCGGTAGGATTTGTTATCGTTGTTTCTGGCCATAAAGGGAGCCCAGACGACTGTTTGTCTGTCAGTCCGCTCATTCAGCCTGGCACTTCCTGGTCCCTCAATTTATGGTGTTCAGTGTTCAGTCTTCAGTGTTCAACCTCGGCTCTCAATTCACTAAGAACGAATGACTCCCAAGCGTATAACTTATGCGTCTCGAAATGCGAAGTTCAACTCTGACATCGAATTCAAGTCCAACTTTCAAATCAACTTTGACACTGCGCTCCTGTGCATCCGTTCAATCAGCTCGGCACCTGAACTCCGCCTAGCAGCCGCGTTCGATGCGGTTGGCTGACCGCTGAGCCCCGACAGCCGCTGTTCGAACCGGAGCAGCGCCAGACCTCTAGTCTCTGGTAGCCAGTCTTGAGATTCAATCGCACCCTGACCTCTGACTGACATAAGACCGTCCCGAACTAGCATCTCTCGTCTTTGGACCCATGACGCCGTAATCTCTCATATATGATCTGCGACTCCTGTTAGCCAGTGTCTGTCGCATTACGCCTCTATGGAGGAGTCCTAGCTTCTAAACCCTGGGGTGCCCTGAATTCTGACCTGTGACCTCCGGTATTCGGTGTCTGTCGAAGCGTGAAACTCTTACCTATATGTACTTACTCTGACGCCTGCCAGCCGTCGGAGCGGCGCCGGCGCCCTGACCCTGATGCAATGCGCCTTGACCTGTGAATTGTGACCCGTGACCTCTACCAGCCGATGTCGATGTCGAAGCGCTGACCTCTGGCCCCTACCAGTCCGTGTCGCTGACCTCTGACCCCTGTCAGCCGGTGTCGCTGACCTCTGACCCCTTCCAGCCGGTGTCGCTGACCTCTGACCCCTACCAGCCGGTGTCGCTGACCTCTGACCCCTATCAACCCGTGTCGCTGTCGAAGCGCTGACCTCTGCCAGCCAGTGTCGGTGTCGTAATACTGACCTCTGACCCCTACCAGCCAGTGTCGCTGACCTCTGACCCAGCCAGTGTCGCTGACCTCTGACCCATACCAGCCGGTGTCGCTGACCTGTGACCCCTGCCAGCCGGTGTCGCTGTCGGAGCGGCGCTGGGTGCACGCCGACGAAGTGGTGATGCGCCGCGGCCGTCAGTGGCGGCCCTGCTACCTGGTGCTGCTCTCCGACCTGGTGCTGATCGCTCAGCGCAACAGGCAGGTGGTGTTCGTCACCGAGCCGCCGCTGATGCTCACCGACGTCATCCAGCACACGTTCAACGTCAAAAAGAAAGGTACGAGACAACTGGCTCAGCATCGACGGTCCTTCCTGTTGTCTCGAAAAAGGGGCAAACCGGAGCCAAGGTATATCCCACTGGCTTTATTCGTGAAGTTGAGGGTTGCTGAATTTTTATTCATGTTAGGTATTTACTAATCGAACATTTACGTAACATTCTTATAACTTATTGTCACACCTGGCTCATACAGACGCTGTGTGCGTCTGCCTGTCGATCAGTCGCAGCTGCGTGCTGTGCTACACCTGGATGATACAGGTGGGGCGGTATGACACACCTTGTTGACACAGGTTAGCTGATGTGACGCCTCCCACTGTCCTCAGAGACCGAGTTCCAGCTGACGGTGCCGGCGGCCGGCGGCGGCCACCGCAAACCGCGCTGTCTCGCCTTCCGCGCACCCAACCTGGAGGCCAAGCTCGCATGGGAGGACCAGGTCCACAAGCAGATGTAAGGCGGCCGTACAGGCCCAGATCCATGACCGTCTGACTCGGGTGGCGCAATAATGAACATATCACAAACTAGATTCATCAGCTTTCCAGGATTCATTCGCATATCGGAATGTCTAAGTTTGTAAGACACTGGGGTAATGTGCGCCGTGCCACACTGCTTTATGGCTTCAACTATGTTTTCTTGTTCCTGGCACAGCTTGGTAACTTTTCTAATCAGCCGAGAAACAGTCGGGAAAGTTAGCGACGTGCAGTACTGAGCAGCTGGTGTGCCCGGTGTGCCGCTGAGGCTCTCCTCTGACTCAGGTGACCCCGCTCTCCCCCGTGTCCCCAGGAGCCTGATGAGGGCCAGCCAGAGCTCCGGCAGCCTGGCGTCACAGCGCAGCGTCTCCTGTGACGCCCTCATCGAAACTTACAAGGTAGGTCAGCACAACAACTAATTTGTCAGAAACTGCATGTAGATTCTGGGTGACATTTTGTGCCGACATGTTTGGCAACATTTCTAATCTAGTGTAACTTGTGCGGAACGGTGGCATATTTCATTTCGACAGTCCAAGGCGCAAACTTTCGTGCTCACCTGCAACGCAGAAACATGCATTATTCCTTTGAACGTCTCATAGGAACAAAGCACGTGTCATGTCGCTCCTTTGAGGCGAGATGCATGAATGTTATATGATGATTCACGGCCTTTGTTCGACGCGTCCCAGCAATGTATTCATTATGCAGGAGCCACCGAGTCATGCCACATGGCGGTGGACATTTGCGACGCATACCCCTATATACGGCCTTGCGCATACCTACATGTTACATTTGGTTCTTTAAATGGAGGAATAGGGTCACACATAAAGATGGGTAGGATGCTTACCTGTATAAAATACAGCTTCGTGCTATATATCCGGTGACTAAGCTTACATCATGGGAGCATGGAGCCTGAATGTCAAAATGCGAAGAAAAAAAGTAAGCATGGAGCTTGAATGTCAAAATGCGAAGAAAAAAGACAATATATAGATGTTTTCTCCTGTTTGTTTAACTGTTTTTTTTTTTGCGAATGACTTATCCACTAGTATTGATGTTGTAGAATGGTTAGTCAACCTTAGTCTACATATTCGCCGTGTACAGGACTACATAATTTCCCCGTACTCAATTCCTACACCGGACGTCCGGTATATGGTACGGAACGGAACACTTCCCGATATCCGTCATCCGTCACGCAGTCCGACCGACACAGTACGTCCATTATGCACCGTCCACACTGCGCCACCGAGTGCGTCCGTCATAGGACGCACAATGTGGCGCGGCGGCGGCGCATCAATCGTCAGCTGACACCGCCAATGTGATTAGTGACGGCCCAGTGATGTACGGCTGGGTGCCTAGTGACGGGACGCCGGCTATGGCGAGACAAGGCCAAGGCTGACGGACTGACGGGGACCGTGCTCCGGGGCGCAGTGGAGGCGCAGTGTCCTTCCCGAGTGTGCTCAAATACCGGAAATTCCTTTTATTATATTTTTGTGTTTTGCTTGGACAACGTTTCTGTATGTATTATGTAATCCTATATGAGCTAATAACGGCAAATATTATAGCGACTAGCGAGAGCAATGTATCAACTGTCATTTAGAAAAGACGTCCAAAATAACCATTTAAAAGGAAACAAATTTCAAAGAATGCAAGAATTTAGGCCAATTTGTCAGTTACGACGTTTGAGGTTGACGGCTGTTACCAGCAATTGATCGCCAACTCTGACGATGCTACGAGCGAGTCATTTCGTTTATCTATTGGGACATAAGAGCGCACCGACTGTCGCAGTCATTTTACGTCCATAACGCCGACGGCAGTGTTCTACTGATGACCGACGAGTCAGCGTTTATCACGGTACACACATCATCGCTCAAAACAATAAGCATAATAAGCAATTTGTCCAAAGACGACATAAAATATCCACTTATAGCACTCCAACATAACGAAGCTGTCGACCACAGACGACGCAGAATTTTAATAACCGACCTATCCGTCTGGCCTGTTTCAGTTCGAGGACCTGAAGCCCGCCGAGCCGAGCGGCGCGGAGCGGGGCCGCCGGAGAAGCAGCTCTCCGCCGGTGTCTGACCGGCGACTCTCCACCAGCAGCGGCTCGCACGTGCTGCCGGCGCCCGTGAAGCGGCAGCGCCCGGACACGCTGCGCGCGCGGCTGTTCGGCGCGCCGGCCCGGCCCCGGCCGCTCAACGTGAAGAAGCTGAGCGCCTCCGCCAAGTGCTGCCAGTACCTGAGCAGCCTGAACGTGCCGGCCGGTGAGCGCGGCCGCGTCACGCCCGTGTTCGAGCGCGAGGGAGACATGACGATCGCCGACTTCGTCAAGAAGCGTCAGAAGGTGTTGTTCGACGTGCAGTCGGCCGACAGCGCCGACGGCGCGTTCGAGACGTTCCTGCTGGACGACGATCTCAGCTCCAACAGCGTCACTCCGCCGCCGCCGGGCTCCCGGCACGTGTCGTACGGGTGTGTGAACGTGGTGCGATACCGGGGCGCGCCACCGCCGCCGCGCCGCTGCCGCCCCCAGTACAACCCCTACCTGGACGACAGGATCGAGCAGGACTACCCGGAGCTGGTGGGCGCGCCGGTCCGCCGACCCTCCCTCACTCAGGGGTCAACAGAGGGCTCAGGGGTCGTAGAGGGCAGCGGCGACGGCGGCACGGCGCAGTCCAAACGCGGTCTGCTGCCCAGTCCGTCCATGAAGTTCGCAGATGACGATGACCTGTCTCCTACCGGGCCAGGCGGACTGTCACTCCTGAGAGGGACAGTCGAGCCAGCGGGGAGCACTGCGAACGGACAGGCCAGGCTGACGGAGATGAATGAAGAAGAGATGACAAACAGGGTAACTACTTGTAACAGGGTAACTGAGCCAGCCGCTGACCATGTGGTTCAGGGCTCTAAACTAAGGCAGAACGACGGAAACTCCGAACAAGAATCCCGCAATCAGCAATCGGTTGAGTGTGAAAAGCTTTCCCAAACAGCAAAGAAGTGCAACGCCGAATCAGAATCATCCGTGACGACTGACAGGTGCGAAAGAAAAACGAGTGTGAACGAAGAAGAAACAAATCGGTCTGGGGAGCACGACAGTGAATCGCCCGTACTGGAGCTATCGCTACCAGCTTCAAATGGAGTACTGGAAGCGCCACTCTGCTACGAAATATGCGTAACTCCTCAAAATGACGGAAATGACAAAACTCTTGCCGCTATGATACATTCGAAACCTTCACCATCACCTGTTGCCGGTGAGTCCTCTACGGTTTCTCCGAGAGAACTAGTTTCATCAGATGCATCTTGCCATAGCCAACCAAGTTCATACGCTCGCGACGCGGCCGATAGAGACGTAAAGGAAAGCATCGATGAGGATAGTCGTAGAGTGGAGCGCTTAGAACGGAACAGCAGTTCCGAAGAGCATGACGACAGGCGCATGTCTGAGAGTAGAACGTCCGGTAGTCCTCGTAGCCAGTGCAGCGGTTTCGTAGACGAGTCACCAGACGCAGGCGAAGATCGCGGCGAAGTCTCCACCGACTTCGCGGTACTGCGTGCGTCTGTCTCGCCTACCCGCATCCCCGCGACATTTTCGCTGGGCGATCACGGGAAGCCTACGGCTCGTGACGGCGCCGAAGACGACCGCTGGACTGCGGAGACAACGATCCTGGAGCCCACGGTCCTACGGGACGACCTCACCGAGCTGGAGGACTCTGCCTACCTCTCGCGCAGCGACGAGCTGCTGGAGCGCCACTCGCAGAAGGTGCTGTCCACTGCGCTGTCCAGCAGCCTCTCCAGCCTGGCGCGCCGCGCCGGCTCCATCCCCAGCTCGCTGGACCGTTCAGAGGTGCGTGCCGACCCGGCTGACCCGCCCCTGGCCTGTCGGAGTGAGGAGGTGCTGCCCGCCTTTCGGTGCGATGACGTCGATGAGCAGGGGGCCAGCGCTACCGGCGTCACAGGCGCCTTGCTGACGCGCCACGGCACCAGTTGTGACCTGGTGACAGACGTAAGTCACGGTTACGTGCCTTGCGCGCGACGTGGTGCGACCAAGGCGCTCCAGCGGCCTTACGGCCAGCTCGTGGCAAGACAGGTGGCAGCGTTCGAGCGGCAGGCGGGAGCAGCGGCGCCAGCCGCACATGTGCCTCGCGCCACCAGCCTGGGCGCGCTCTGGCAGGTTCCGCCCGAACGGGGCAGTGCGGACCTCTCTCCGGCCACTCCGTCCAGCCGCGGCAGCTACCTGACCTCTGGCTCCCCTGCCACATCGGCCTCTGCCTGCGACCTGGACTCGGCCGGTGAGGACGCCACACTAGCGCCATCCAGCGGTGACAGTCAGAACTCGTTGTTCGGCTGTCTGCCGGACCTGGAAGACGAAGTGGCGCCCGACCTAACTCTGGAGCTGGCCGACGGCTATCGAACGCAGACCGACCGCCTCATGCCGCTCTCCGACATCGAGGAGATCACCGAGGAACTGGACGGCTTCGTGTCTGATTCGGACATCTTGTCACCCATCACCGAGGAGGCGTCTTCTTCGAGCGCACCGCAGGAGCCCCTACCGCCGGAGCGCGATTCCTTCCTGAAGCCGGTCCCTCGCAAGAGGCAAACACAGATCAAATGCGATGTTAACCAGCAGCAGGATCACCAGGCCTCCGAGCACATGCGGAATAAGGTGCGGATGTGGGCAAACGGGATCGACGTGATCCCCTACTCCGGACCGAAGACCAGCAGGCGACATGGTGAAGACGGCTGTTATCGAACCATTGAGGGAGTGATGGCAAACACTGGCCAGCCCAGCGTTGAGCGGGCGTTGGAAGTCATCACGGACAGCTTCCGCGGGATCGGATCGGAGGATCAGCCCGACGAGGAGGAAGCTGATGCTGCTGAAATACAGGTTCCTGACGACTTAGAAAGTCCGGAGGACCGAACCCATGAGTCTCCCGTGAGAGAGGAAGCACCTTCACATCGGACTGATAAGGTAAGTGGCAGGAACGTGACTCAACTTGTTGAGGCCAGATGATAGAAACCATATTATGGGCGCGCATGAATGTTATTTGTCTTGCACTGGGCAAACAATGAAGACAGCGGATAATTGCCACAAGTGCTGCTACATACCTAGTACATACCAACGTGTCGCTGCATGTCACCATCAGGTTCTTTTAGAATTTCGGATGCAAGTTTAGGTGCGCTCGTCTCGTAACTTAGCTTGGTAAAGTCATCAGAGTGTTAGTGCTCAATTCTATCTCAGCATAGTAGCCATAACAAAATTGACGCATTGTTGTCCGGTAGGTACATAGATTTGCATCGTTGGTGAATTACCGATGCCTCCCACAAATCACAATACCTCAAGCTCCTATAAAATAAGTCCGATCATGACCACGTCGTTTCATGAGCGATGTATATTGATAGCGTCGCACCATATCATTCATTTCTCTTTCTTTCTTTCTTTCTGCAGGACTCAACAAAGGTGACTTCCATAACTCCACATGTGGCGAAATCCGAGAACACGGAACATAGCCAAACAAATCCTACCTCATCTTCCACGCAGGACGACCTTGCTGGCGATGGACCACGAGAAGGTGATGGACCAGTCGGTAGTGGGAACAGCTCTTCAGAGAAGAGCGGGCACGAAACCGGAGAACCGGAGGGCGAGACACAACCAGCACAGAGAAATCAGGATGCTGAAGCGTTCGACGCGACTAAGCATCAGACAGCCGCCGACGATAGTCTGAAGGACGATGGCAGAGGTTCGAGCGATGCTGAAGTCAGCAGAGAAGAGGCATGGAACGCTGAAACGCTCAACACGAAAGAAGTCACGACAAACGACTCGTCAAGTGCCAACGATATTGCGGGAAGAGAAACAGCGAAAGAAGCTGGTGAAATCGCTCTAACGGATGGCCCGCAAGCACTGAAGATTGCATCAACCAAGGAGGTCAATGTGAGTTCAGAGGATACCCGACTCATGAACCTTCCAACGAAATCATCGGCAGATAGTGTCGACAATCAAATGAGTCAGCCATTACCGGGACCTAGTCCCCTATCGACTCAGTTTGAACAGCCGGCGCCAGAACAAATACCAACAGACGAGGAGGTCCACCAAACAAAAAACCAGAGGGACAGTAAGGAAGAGCAGAATGTTGCTCTACTCGACAACAGCCCGCAAACGAAGGAGAGGGGCGACCGGGTACCACACAATAATGACGAACAAGAGTCAAGGACAACAGATGACGACGAGTTGCCGTCGAACGAATCCTGCCAGCCGATAGACGAGGTTGGGTTCGCTCTCAAACCATCAGAAGACCCTGGTGCCTATCTAAAGACGAACGGTAGCATGGATGAAGAAGTTGATGCGGCCACCAGAAACGTCGCAAATGTCAAAGCAGATGCGAGCCGTCCTGAAGAGGTTTCGAGAACAAGTTTCGCCGAAACAGTTCAAGGAAGTCTGAATTGTCCCAAGGCAGCTGACTCCGCTTCCCACGATCCCAGCCATCCTGCTGATGCTGACAGGCGTTTCCAACCTTCCAACTACCATGAAGAGCTCCCAGCAGACTCAGAGATTGAAACCGAGAACGAACGTCCCGAAACAGAGGACGAGCCTCAAGAGTCCGACGGTGACCATATCGAAGCCGACAACCTGCTGACAGAAACCGAAGCAGGTTCTGCCAATGTTGAAGGGCGGCCTAGCGGGGCCGACTGCGGACCTGCCGCGACTGAGGGCGGTTCTGCCGGAGCAGAAAGCGGCCCGGCCGAGTCTCCTCGTCTGGTGGCCAGTATCCGCAGCCTGCTGCGCCACCTGAGTCCGGTGACGGAGAGACGTCGTCAGGAAGGGGACCACCGCGACACCCACGACGGACACCAAGCGCCAACGCGAGCCAAACGGTGAGCAGGACGTTCCAGCGGAGGCCTCTAGCTGCGATGATGGGCTGGGTTCCAACTTCCAAGAATTATGTATTGTCTTTGCAGAGAACAATTATAGTAAATATAAATCTAAGCAAGTGATGACAATTGACAACTACGGATTGCTGAGAGAAAACCCTCCTCGTTCACAATACTTATGAACTACCTAAAAGCGGTCATCATAATCCTTTCCTGCAATCGCGGTAACTGACCCCAGACCTTTGCTGCAGATTTCCGAAGTTTTGGTCGCACCACTCACGCCGGGACCGGAAGAGTGAGCCGATCAGCACACACGACTCTGCCCATCACGGCTCTCACGTGTCGAGATCAGGTGAGTTGGTCAAACCGCACAGAACACCATTAATTTCTAACATCTTAGTGCTGTAAGCTGGCTACATCGAAAGATGTCACCGTAAGAAAATCCCGCAGATCATCCTCAGCTCGTTTTCATATTGATATGTGCATCTTCACCCACCGAGCTCTCACACCTGACCGAAACGAGGCGCTGACCACACCGTTTCCGTTTCAGGGAAACTCACCATCCTCACACGTCAGCGACCATTCACCATGGCTACTGTGAGTCAGATGGCGGCGCCGGAGGGCCACGCCGCAGGTCGCATCCCGGTACTGCCGACCAGCGCCCTGTAGACGACCTGCGGTGACCTGCAAGACCGGGCGCCCTGTTGCAACCTAGTGGGCAGTGACCTGCAGTTACCCAGTGACTTGCAGTGACCCATCAACCTGTAGTGCCAGTGACCCAAGAACCTGCAGCGGTCCCAGTGACCTGCCTACGGCAGAAGGTGCGGTAGCACGGGCTGCTGGTAGACCACCGCAGTGAACCCGCCTCCAGCTTCAAACAATAGAGGACGGCACTGACTGATGACATTGGACGCTATAGCTTCGCCGTAGTGTCGCTCAGATCGACGCGTAGAGGCGTAGTACGACGCTACTGCTAGATAGGCAGTGCCATCTGTAGCCCGTATAGCTAACCAGTAGCAAGCGAGGGTGTCCGACGCAGTTTGACGTCACTTGCCTCCTAGCGACGCGCGTAGCTTTGCAAGCTCAAAGCATCTTTACCTCTAAAACAACACATGATACTGTTGAGTGTAACTATGTGCAATACGGGCTAGTCTCGAGGAATGCTCACGATGATGGTTGGTTTGGTATCTAGAAATGCGGTAGTACGAAGTAGCTGGATAGGGAAAGACGTCAGACAGTTCCCGGTCGAGGGTTCTAGAGCCTGCTCGATGGGTAGCGGCGCACGAGGTGTGGCTCGGCAGGTCCCAGGTGGTCTGTTAGCCATGGTTAGATAACCATTTTAAATCTGGAGTCAGATTCTGGTATTACACCCCGGTGAACAGCTGATATCACACATGAACACGTTTCCTGTACATTTGGAATTGGAGTATGCTAAAACAGAAGCAATCACAAGCCGCGTACGCTGTTCAACCTGGCTGACACCTGGTTCACAGCGCTCACGAAAGTGTTACCTCCACTGACACAAATGTATCGAACAGCACTGGCAACTCTCTGGTGCCTGGCACCCTCCGAGCAGAGCTCGGCGTGTAGTGGTGGGTCTATATGTCCACGGTGGCAGCGGTCGGGAGCAGACGACGGTCTCTGGACCGGCGAGCTCTTGTTGTGCTTCCCGTCCACGTTTCTAAGTGTTCACCCAGTCAGGAGTGAAGTGAAAGTCTGCTGGATGTTGGCCAGGGTAGCGAATCTCGCGGTGTTGTCTTGACCTCAGAGGTCTTGTGAAGTGTGAACTGGCCTGTCAACTATGCATTGCTCGTACTCGCCACATCACCATCGTTATGTCAATAAATATGCATAGATACTTTATTTTGAGGGAGCCATTTACACCTATGGGTGACACTCAACATACCCATTGAAATTAACTCCGAATAGCAAAGCGGTCTCCTCTTCCGGTCAAGCTGTTACACCCTGGTACAAACCACAAACCTACCAAGCAAGGCAATGACTTTGGAGGCTATATATACATCAATGTAGGGACAAAACTTTCGAATTTTTACAGGTTTGGCCTATATTTTAATTTGCTTACTGAAACAAATTTATGTTTTGCAGTTGATTCCAATCAATGCGGGATCCGTGTCACTTTCATGCTCTAATTCATATGCGGTATGCCACTAGAGAGAAAAGACAAACGGCTAGTCTGTTACAGGGAGCTGTAGCGTGCCACACAATTCACCCTTATCCCCTCCCTCCACTTCAGACGGCTCCCTGGTCTACCAACACGGCAGAAGCTCCTCTGAAGTCTCCCACCACCGAGTCTGACGGCGTAACTACCCCAAATACTGAAGATCCATCGTCCGGAGCTACGGCCGGTGCGGAACCGGCACAGGCAGACCGAGACGCAGGGTGTCCCCTCACCGCTCCGACCAGCATCGATTGTAGCGCCGTCTGCCCGACCGGAGCGACGTTCGCAGCGCTGCCACCGTCCAGCAGAACTGATCAGTCAACCGGGAGAGCACCACAGAGCAGCCGCGAGCAGCGAGCGTCCACCCGGCGACAGGATGGTTCGAGTCCTGTTGGATGTAGGAAAGGCACGGAGTCGACTCGGTCGAATCTCGATTCAAACTGGACACTGGCGCGAGATGAGAAAATGTACGGTGGTGTGGAGCCAATGTCTGAATACCCTACTTCAGAGGAGACCACCGGGAGTCGACCAAAACAGAGGGAAGTGCGAGATGTTCAGAGGTCTCATGATGCCTCCACCGGAGCTCCACGATTGACCGAAAAGAAAGACAAAGAGAAAACAAGCAGAGAACCTGATGCCCTTGGGGCACCCGATGACTTGCGTAATCAGCAACGGGGACCCGGCGCTTCCAGGGAGCTGTCTATTCTTGCAACGGATAGCAGGGACGTCGGCGACAAACAGGACTCGGCTGCCAGTATCAAACAGTGTCCTACCAATGGCAACGGGCGCATCAAGCCGAGTCCTACCAAAGGCAGCAGGCGCGGCAGGGCCAGGAAGCGACCCGCACCGCCACCGCCGCCGGCTCCTGTCAGGGGTATAGTGACGATTGTGGTGCCGGCGGCCCGTTCCCCTACCGTCAGCGACCACCTGCATCGGCACATCGCGGCACTGGTGCGCGGCGAGCCAGCACCAGTCACCATGGGGAGGGGAGGGCCGGCACCAGTCACCATGGGGAGAGGAGGGCCGGCACCAGTCATCACGGGGAGAGGAGGGACGGCACCAGTCACCATGGGGAGGGCAGATCGGGTTACTAGCCGCAACTGAAGCTGACTGGACGGACCGGGGGTCGCTAGTGACCCCGACCGGACCGAAGGCTCCGACTGGAGCTAACCCGGTCGGGAGCGAAACCTGCATGACCTGTAAATGTGCGCACCATGCAGCTATGTGTCTGTGGCCCGTGATATGTCCGCATAATCACTCATGTCTAATACACAAATATCAGCACCAAATATGAGAGCCCCTTTCTGCACCAATCTGGTTTGTCATCCTTATTGAAGATGGGCATACCTTCGCGGTAGCACAGCAGATAGAATGAAGTCTACATAATCGTTAGTTCTACTCACTATGAATTGGCTGTGCATTTATCACAATATCACTCGCATGAGTTTGAAATTTAGCTTTGGGAAAACTACAACGCGATTGATCGGCGTATAAATTATACCACATTCGCTCACACTTCAGAGTTCAGATGTCTACATATACGGTCGACCCAAAACTTTATCTGAGAGATCTGCGAGCAATGAAAGCCAATCAGGGACAGAAATAAGAATTATTGAAACATGATTATTATAGCATCATATCATGTCATTTATTTCATTTTCAGTACACCAACGCATACAAAAATAGCCAAGCACTGCAATAGCAAACCCAAATAGACAGTCCGTATCCACGACGGTACGACCCATCGACTGTCTTTGGCTATATCTACTACTAGGTCATAGAAAAGATTCAACTTTGAAATAAAAAAGGAGTAGCTACGCCGCACCCCACCTTTCGGTGGGGTGCAGCGTAGCTACTCCTTTTTTAATAACTTGGGTTAATATCGAAACACTGCAGTTACATTACTCACCCAGCTACGAGTCAGGAAATAGTATGGAGTCCCTCTACATAAGGAAGGAAATCACGGCATCTAAAACTTAAATGACACAATTATATATCTATCAGCTATCTGCACTTTGAGAAACTTTTGCAAACTCATGTTCCACAGGCTTTATTTTGTGATAAAAGAGAAGCAAGAATAAGATAGGGTGTGAACTGCTATTGCCAATCTGCTTCATGATATATTCTCAACTTGTATCGTAAAAACAGCAGGTTTACGATTTACGCACGAGAACCGTGCAACTCATATCTTATTCAAGCATCATCACCGATCAGTCGCGTTAAAATAAGCGCAAACGAGCATTGCCAATGGAAGTTGTACGGAATATCTAGGTAACAACGATAAACTGTCAAGACTAACATAAATAATTCAGCTTAGGCGTCTTAGCAGCCTTTTGACCCAGGTATGATACGACTTTTCTTTATCACAAAGCTCAGGTAGCGTACTATACGCAAATATTCATGACATTTTACCTATTCTGGTAAATATACTCATCACCCGTAATAAGCCATATTCCTAAGTGAGCTATGTATCTTGGAATGCTATCGAAAGCTTCTCAGCGTCGTACGAATTCCGACTCACCATGTGTTGGAGCCACGCACCTTCGTCGTTGTTTTCTTCTTTGGATACTCGTGGATGTAAGTCGTACCTAATTAAACAGCTTTGAAAGAACTTGCAGCTTGCCATCGCGTTGTTTCGCCTTACGTCTCTCATATTATGGCAGGGTGCAAATAAATGCACCTGTACCAGCTTCCCCTTTCGTCTCCAACACTGCTCACTCACGGTCACCGGCCGAGTGCCCGGAGCGCCTGTTCCGTTCGCATCGTCAGCCGCTCACGGTCACCGCCCGAGTACCATGAGCGCCTGTTCAGTTAGCATCATCAGCAGCTCACGGTCACCTGCCGAGTGCCCGCAGCGCCTGTTCAGTTCGCAGCGTCAGCAGCTCACGGTCGTGCAGCAGCTCGGTCAGCTCGGGCTCCGGCAGCTCCAGCAGCATGCCCGTCAGACGGCCGGCCAGCTGCGGGTGCTGCTCGTGCAGTGCCGCGAACAGCCGTTCAGCCAACTCCTCGCGGGTGGCCGGTACCGGTGCTGTGGTACCCGCCGCCGCCGCCGCCACCTGCCGAGGAGCGGTAGAGTCATAGGACGTCAGACTTAGGGTTGGCATTTTTGCCGGCAAAAACTAGTTTATGCCATTTGCCGGTTTAAACCGGTTTTAACCGGCAAAAAGTGGCAAAAACTGGCAAAAACTAAGAAAATCACAATGCTATGCCTAGACATGAATTTGAACATTAAAAACATTTTAAGGAGAATTCGGTGAAAGCTTTATGCTTTCAAACAGAAGTGACATTGACCATTGAAATGCTTCATAACTCAGAAACATTTTCATGGGCTTTCCATAAGGAGCTAGTAAGATGCCTTTTGGGGGTGACAAATGAGCCAGTGCAAGGGTGACTGGGTGAGTCCTGCACAATCAGAAGTGCGAAGGGGCATCTGCCACTGATATGCGCACGGACGGCACCCTACTTACCGTGGCCGCCTTGCCCCACTCTCCTCTTCATGGAAATACATTCCGTTGTGGATGTCTACCGACATGCATAGACATTTTAAGCAGGGATAAGTAATGAGACAGCTTCAGAATGTTTAGTGCATCTATATAACTACCAGAAATGCATTTGCACATTCCAAATCCATTCCTAACTAGAAAAGTTGTAGGTTTGGCCATCTGAGTTTTAGCCAGTTTTTGCCAGTTCTTGCCACCAGGGTTTCTGCCAGCCGGTTTAAACCGGTTAAAACCACTGGCAAAAACCAGTTTTTGCCACCCCCTGCCAACCCTGGTCAGACTGAGGGGTGAAGTCTAAGTAAAGTCAAAAGTTTCCTAGTTAGGTATTATGGTGCAACTTATAAGAGGCATACAGCGGTAAATTCGGCGCATTTGCAGGCGGACTACAGATAACAACTTGACATGGACCAGCATAGGCTACAAGTGAATGAGGTTCATCTGATGTATTTTAAGAATAACAAATTTGTTAAAAGTAAGACTACCCGATGGTTTTCAAAGTTGTAAACTGCTCAAGGAACCGACGCAGTGAAATAACACTGGTGTACAAAGAGCACCGTGAACTGAACATGATTTATTGGGCACATGCTGAACTGACTCTCACATACGAGTCGCACCTGACTGGCTCCTGTGTAGCGGAGGTACTCGGCGCGGGCGGCGGCGACGGCCTCCCTCAGGCGTCCCTCGTCCTGCAGCAGCCTGGCCAGCCGGAGCGGCGGCATCTCCAGCAGCATGCCACTCAGCTGGGCGCACAGCTCCGAATCGAGTCGGGAGACGCGCGCAAACACCGCCTCCCCCAGCGTCAGGCTGCCGGACAGACACAGACACAGTGAACGAGCGGTGCGGGAGTGTGTGAGGGCAATGTACACAGTTCAACCCAGGAGAAGGTGAAGCTTGAACCAATCAAACAAATGTGAATTGTGAGCACTGAACACCGAGCACATTAAACATCTGCAGCTAACTAGGTGTCTTTCTAAGCGCAGGATCAGCATAAATGAATGATTAACCCGCGCCGGGCCGGGGGGGGGGGGGTGTTTGAACACCCCCCTGCGGTTTTTGGCACACCTGTTCGTGCATCTTTTCCGCACATGTTGTGAAAATTTCAGAACCAGGTCGCCTTAGGTCAGGTCACCAGGTCACGCCAAGTGACCTCACCTCAGAAAAAATGGGAATGCTCGTCATAGCTACACCGATTGATCGATTGCCTTGAAACTTTCAGCGATTGATTAGAGCAACAATATCTATAAAATGTATATCTCAGAATTTTGATATCGGTGACCTAAGGTCAGGTCAATTTTGCGGCCTCTCCATTATAAGTCAATGGGAGAAAATTGAAAAGCGTCTGTTTTGCACGAACGCTATTCTAGACACTCTCAAACATCGAGAGGTAGGTACAATTGACACACTGAACCGGAAAATGGCAACTGTGACCCCTCGTTATGTCCCCGAGATCATCTCAGGTCACGAACAGAATCTATCAGTTTTTCGCTAATACCTTCTGATAGAGGCGTGCTAGAGCGCTGAAAATGCCTTAGATGTGTTCGCCTCGACGTTGCGGATCGACTGATATGCAACATGACCTTTTCCGGTCAGGTCATGACCTTGACCTGAGGTCAAATTTTCAAGTTAACCTTTCAAGGTCAAATTATAGTTCATCCAACGCGTCTCGACGAGAGGAAAACGATGCTGGCAAAAGTAATGTCATGGCTCTTTTGAGTCAAAAGTTATTGCAAAAAAAAAACGATTTCCGCCCCGGCCCGGCGCGGAATCTCAGAGCAGTAAGGTGTGGGTAAAACGACACGTACACAAGTCACGAAAGAAAACAGCACTTCATTTAACAGGTCGTTTGATGTCAATGTAATGACCTGACCCGAAAGGTATTGTTGCATACGGGTCGATCCGTATCGTGAGGCTTAAAAGTCTGAACACACTCAAAGTGTTTTCATCGCGGTAGCATCTCTTCACCAAAAGTTATTGTCGAAAGAAGCTCGAAACCTTTAAAAACTGAGATCTCAGGAGCGGAAAGAGAGGTCACGGGTGCAATTTTCCGATTCAATATTCATTGTTTGTCTGTTACCCGATGTATGAGAGTGCCTCGAATGACTTCCAGCCAAAAGAAGCGCAATTTCTCATTTTCTCTGGATGGGTCGCAAAATTGATCTGACTTTGGGCAACCGATATCAAAGTTCCGAGGAATACTTTTTTTACATAACTACTTATGCCCTATTGATCGCTGAAAGTTTCAAAGCGACCGTCCAGTCGGTGTAGCTATGACGAGCCGAGCATTACAACTTTTCTTGAGGTCAGGTTACTTGACGTGATCTGGTGACGTGATCTTGGAAGACCTGGGTCTGAAATATTCGCTACATCTACACATTAACGATTGTGATAGTGGCCAGTGGCCACCATTTTTTTATGTTTACGGAAAACCACAAAGGGGGTTCAAATACCGCACCCATGGGAGGTGGTCTCAGCCAGCTTCGCCATGGTGGGGGAGGGGGAGGGCCGTATTTGGCCACACCTGGTTATCTCGAAAACTATGAAAGACACGAAAAAGCAAATGATAGCTCGCTATAAGATCTTTCAGAGCTTTCGTGTCTTTTTATTAGGTCTTCGCTAAGGTCAATGGAGATCAATTAAACAATTATCACACAATTTTCTCGATTTTAATCCTATTTTTTTTTTCACAAATCGGCGTACAACTCGCGAGTCAAAGAGCTAGATTCACGGAAAAGCGCATTCGATACCCCATTCAAAGCTCTTTTTTATCAGTTTAGCTCGAATGTTTGAATGGACGGATTGACAGAGCCGGAGCCCACGCTAAGCAGAGCTTGTTGCATAGACCCCGACCTCTACCGCCCGATCGCACAATGCCGGATAACAGAAAAATTTAGATGTCAAAGTTTATACGCTCTTCAAAGCCGGACATGGCCTGTCCCACTCGACTGACTTCAACTGGCTGCGGCTGCTCCCACCAACCGCAGACCATCTCCGTCTGGAGTCTCAAATACCGAGCGCCGGAGCGACCCGAACCCGGGCTTTCACTACCGGGATTTCAATGCTCCACCAACTGAGCTACAGGAGAGCATGTCAGTCTTTCCCTGACATGCTCTCATATTTGACCTCAGGTCATCGGTTTGGCCCAGAGAAAGCAAACACCACCAAAATAGACAGATTTTGTCTAAACGATTTTCCCGCCATAACTTTGGCATCCATGACAAATACTTTGCCACCATCGTGTTTCTCTCGTCGAGACTTGTCAGGTGAACAATAAGTTGACCTGAAAAGTCTATTTTAAAATTTGACCTCAGGGCAAGGTCATGACCTGGCTGGCAAAGGTCATGTTGCATATCAATCAATTTGTATTGATGACCTGAACACATTCTAGGTGATTTTATCACTCCATTAAATCTCCATGAAAAGTTATTGTCAAAAAGAAAACTTCTGGTGACCTTTTATGATCTAGCATGACCTTTTGAGAGGCCACTGTCCATCGGTTGCACCCTGTCCATAGCATATGAAAAGGGCACAACTGGCATTCAGATGGTTTTGTTTCTGTAAACATCTTGTGGTTCTGACATCTTGTTTAAAACAGGAGCCATTTGTGTTCTTTTCCCCAATTACCTCACAATGGTAAGGTCACAAATCTGATCTGACCCCAAAGCACAGATCAAGATATGAAAAATCAGACACCTACCTATCCAAATTGTTGGCACTGATTCACTTAGAACTCACGCACTTCAAAGTTTCAAACTTCTAAGAGATAAGATATAGTAATGAATGACAGGATCACAACAAGGTACTTAGCTTGACCTGGTGAGTGGTGACCTGACCTTAGATGACCTGGGGGCTGGGATAGAAACTTTGCACATGATGCAAAATGGATGCATCATAAGCTATGTCAATGTAGTGTACTGCAGCTTTGTTTACACACACAAAACAAAATGGAGTGTAGCCAAAAATGTCTCACCTGGCTTCCACCACCAAGAAATTAAGAAAGGATTTCAATGAATGGATGACCAAGTGCATGAAAGAGTGTGAACAGAACAGGTGAGTAGCTTGTGCAAAGTCAGCTTGTGCCAGCTTGTACAATTCCTACCTCCCATTTTGCTGATAAGAAAGCAGGGTTTGGACAGCATTTCCAAGCTCCTGGTCTGACTGAAGAAGCTGCAATAATTCTTCATTTGTCAGACCTTCGCCAAGAAGTTCAATTAGGCTGTCCTCTTGACCCGGCGAAAGGTGCCTGAAATGAAAAATGAAATGGAAAAAGCATGTTCCAGAAGTTGTGCGCTAAAGTAGGCATGAAATCATCAGGGTTGATGTATGTAACTACAACATGAGATTCATAAATCAATAGGTCAAGACAGGCATTCCAAATTTGAATTGAAATTAGGTAGTTCTTGTTCTGTGCACACTTATCATACCTCAGTTTTACTAAAAGATGGTCCAATAACACTTCCTGAGTATCTGGCAGATGAGTTGTTCCTGACATCTGAAGTTCTCAACCTAAAAATTAAGGACTTGCTTGCAATCACTGCTTCGCACACTGCCATATCAACACGTTTCAATTTGTTTGTTATATATTGCACAATGCACATAGTGCACGTTTGTTATAGTGCGCCAAAAATTGTAGCAGCTGCGTGGTTTCTGAAGAAATATTGCTACCATATTCATCTATGACGTAATTTACCTAGTGCTTACCAATCAACTAACAGATTCGCAAATATCTTACATACAATTTGGTAGCACAATAGGTATTTCATAGCTGTTATTCACTAAACCTTGAATGATATTAGGAACGGAGGACGGAGGCGTATTTACAAATTGCAACCGAGCTCCGCCGTAGGGTATTTTATTTCCGCCGTAGTGTATTTCACTTGGGGAATTTTCTACCATACATCTGCCTGAGCTTAGGGTAATTACAATTTGTCGGCTACGTTCAAAAATGATGCACCTTTTTTCGCAGTATAGGATATCGCATGTGCATATTTCTGCCTTTTTGGGTGCACTTTATCGGTTTTTCGTGAGTAACTCGCGTAAAAACCGTCCGATCGCGACGAAACTTTCAATACCCCCGATTTTATCAATTTTACACCTACCCTGAAAATTTCATGACTCTGGCCCAAATGACCTTTGACCTGTGACCTATTTCTCGAGACCATGTTTGGCCCGAATCGCGATTCGGCGTATGTCGGCTCGCATTAGCCGCGCGGTTGCAGTCTTCACGTGGTTTTAAGCGTTGAAACATGTGATATGATGCTGGTCCCATGCATTAAAGGGTGGGTGTCAAGGTCACCTGAAGGTCAGGTCAGCTCAATGACCTCTGATGACCTCGGTTCACTTTTTCGAGTTTTACATGTCTCTAGGCTAGTTTTTGGAGCTGATTTCGAATTTAGCAACCATTTGAACATTACAGGGGGTGTAACGAAATTATCCGGACACCTTTCTTCCCGCTGTAAAAGCAAAACAATCTGGTACTTTTTTATCTGAGCTTGTAGCCACCTTTCATAAAAATACAGTGGCGAATGTTCTGGACTCTGGAGCAATTCAGCCACTGGATCATCCAGCACACTGGCTTTGATGCGGACCAACGCCGTCTAAACCTGTGCCTGCGGTTGAGCAGTGCTTATGGCGGGTGGCTCTTCGTACACCTCCTACTAAACAAGAGCCCACAGGTTTTCGATTGAATTGGGATCGCGACTTTTTCCAAGTCATAAGCGTTAGCCCAGAATGATTGAAGGTTCTATCGGCATCACTTTTCGTTCTTTTAGGGACTTAAGTAGCGCGCCGTCCCGCATGAAGACAGCGTGGCTTGAATCAGGCATCAGTGCGCGTTCAGAAACCGTGCCCTCCTATGCCGTCTGGTTGAGCGCCTCCAATCATGCTCCACCGTACCTTCCCTGGAAAAGCTCCACCCTTGCCTATGGGGCAAAATATAAGGGACAAAAACACAAAACAAGACAGATAAAAACAAAGCAAAATTAACTCATTACCTAATGAAATTCAGGCTGGAGCAAAAACATACATAGGTCAACTCACTCACCTTGTCAACTCACCTTGTCGGGTTCCATCCACTACCACCAGTCGGCAAGGAAAAGGCTCGATGGATGGAAGGACGGGAGGAACCCTGCTTCATATGGCGCGCCAGTTGACAATCTCAGGATACATCGTCATAGCATACACGCACATAACTGGAGTGTTGCGCCACCATTTAGACTAACATTGACTACATCGTGTTTTTACAATAGAATAGCAAATAGTAAAAAAGTGTTCATCATACAACTTACATATACTCGACGAGTCTATCCGGAATAGCTCCTACTAATCCATGTTTAAATGACTGAAGGTCTGGAGCATTAACAACATCTGGTGGTAGGCTGTTCCAGAGATGCACACATCTGTTTGAAAACGAGCGCTGTCTTATGTCTGTGTTGGCGTGAGCGACAGTGATCTTAAAGGCGTGGCCTCGAGTGCCGGTCTGGGGCTGAGTGCAGGGCCTCGGCTAACATGTTAACTACTGGGGCAAATGCCCCAGTAGAGTCGAGGAATGCCCCAGTAGTGGTCAGGCTTTGCCCAGCCTCCACAAAATGAGAATATATCAATATTAACGTACATTCTTTCATTCGGGAGCGGTTGAAGACGTTTGTGGCAAGAAATCAGGGGCGGCGGAAAAGGCGTGCACGTGTGTGCAGCTGCACCCTCAATTTCCATCCAAAAACATAGGCGTGCATTGGCAAACATATCTTTTTGCACCCTATAATCCATCTTCATTCAAAACTCGAAAGAGCGTCAAAAATAATGACGAAATTACTTCAGCCACTTTTTTGGTCAGGTCAAAGTGAAGGTGAAGGTGATGGTGAAGGCCAAATTTCGCCGATTTTCAGGTCGAATATCGACAGTTTACAAGATGCCGACGAATAACTCGGGAACCAATTAGAGCTACAGCACCGCGGAAAACGCATTTGATAGCCATATTAGCATGCTTTCTGGTTATTTCTCTTAGATTTGACCTATCGTCAACGGTTTTGCCTGCAAGGGGCAAAAACTACCAAATTAGACGATTTTTTTCGTGAACAGTTTTTCTGCAATAACTTCTGAATCATGCCTTGCACGAGCTTTCTTTTACCGACATCGTGTTCCTCTCGTCAAGACGCATCAAATTAACTACAATCTGACTTTGAAGGTCACCTTGAAAATTCGACCTCAGGACAAGGTCATGATCTGACCGGAAATTGTCATGTTGCATGTCAGTCGATCTGCATCGTCGAGCCAAACACAACTAAGGCATTTTCATCGCTCTAGCATGCCTCTTTCAAAAGTTATTCGCGAAAAACTGTTAGATGCCATTCGTGAACTGAGATGACCTCAGGGGCATAAACAAGGGTCACTGTTGCTATTTTCATTTTTAGTGTGTCAAAGTCACGTACAGTGTTTTATAGTGTTTAGAATAACTTTTGTCCAAAAGAGGTGGTTTTGAATTTTCTCCCATTGACTTATAATAGAGGTCGCAAAATTGAGCTGACCTTAGGTCACCGATATGAAAATTCCGAGATATAAATTTTGTACATGCTGTTGCCCTTATCAATCGCTGAAAGTTTCAAAGCGATCGGTCACTCGGTGTAGCTACGGCATACATTGAAACATTTTATGAGGTGAAGTCACTTGAAGTTGAAGTGACCTGGTGACCTGATCTTGAATGACTTTGGTCTGAACTTTTTACAACACGTGTAGAATTGATGGATGATGGAGCGCCGCCGTTTTTGAGATATCCGCGAAAAACCGCAGGAAAAACCGCATGGGTGTTCAAACCCCCCCCCCCCCAGCAGGGCGCCAACACACTTTGACGATTTGCCCCAGTAGTCGAAATTCCTTAGCCGAGGCCCTGGCTGAGTGAACATGGACTGCGGCATTATGTGACTCTTTCCATGGAAAATCTTCCAGTATTGGATAAGGTCCGCTCTTATTAAGCGTCCCTGAATCGAGTACAGTCCTAGTTCACTCAACCTCTCGGCGTAAGTAAGCTCGCGGAGACCTTGTACACGCTTCGTCCATCGCCTTTGAATGCGCTCTAACTTACGCATGTCGCCAACGTATCCCGTATGCCATAGACACGAGCCGTATTCAAGAACGGGCCGGATATGGGTTGTGAAGAGAAATATCATTAACTTCGGGGAACGGGAAGCAAGAGCTCGCAGGAAGCTGTGGCAAATCCCAGAGGCCCTCTGTGATAAGCAATCAACGTGTTCGTGAAACTTCAGTGAAGTGTCTACGATCACCCCCAAGTCACCGTGTGAAAAGGGTGTGGGCAGACGACGTCCGTTGAGGGTGTAGTGTGCTCGCGGAGTGTCCCGTCCCCTGGAAAATCGTAGGACGGCACCGCCAGTACCAGGCGGGTACTGTAATTGTGTTGTGTTGTGGCGGCCTCCTGCCTGGCGGTACCGTGGGCTGTGAGCCACGTGCCGCGCTGCAGTTCACAGCTGCCGCCGGCTGGCCGCCGACCGGCAGTCACCGCGGCGCCGCTGAGCGTCTGGCATTGCGTATCGCTGTCGCTTATGTGTTAAATATAACTGCTCTCACTGGAAGCCGACTCCACTCTTACTAACTGGCGTGGTGGCAGCGTTTTCCCACGTCCTCGAACAGTCGGCTCTCCATTCTTTTGGCCAGTGAGCCTTGCTTTAAAGTGGCATTGTAACGGCAGTTTATTAATCAGGATGGCGGCGCGTGCTCCAAAGCAGTGGCCGCTGACTCGACACGAAACTATTACGTCCTTTGAAAACTGGCGCCAGAACCTGGAATGCACATTGTCACTGGATCCGAACTTCTCCAAGTTCCTTGAGAGGAGTGTCACCTGGACAAAGAAGACTGCTGACAACCCGCTTCGTGGCTTCACGGACGATTCGGACTCTGTCCCGGAATCGCTGCGGCTCACCGCCGTCCAACAGGCTGCCCAGCTGGAGCTGATGCTCGGGCAAATTGCCAATTTTTGTCCCGTCATTTCAAGGAACACGATCGTCAAAAATTCAACTAGCCTGTCCGCCATTTGGCAAGCGATTCGTCTACACTTCGGATTTCAATCGACCGGTGCACACCTGTTGGATTTTGCTAGCATTCGCCGCGAGCACGATGAACGACCGGAGGACCTATTTCAACGTCTGATGGCGTTTGTGGAAGATACACTTCTCACCACAGATGCCGGCATTTCCCACCACGGCGTGCTGCCCTCGACGAATGAAGACATGTCACCAACCCTGGAGAATCTGGTATGTCTCCACTGGCTAAGTCTCCTTCACACCGGTCTGCCCGCCCTGGTCAAGCAACGGTACGGACCGGAGCTACGCTGCCGCACACTGGCCTCTCTCAAGCCCGAGATTAGTCAGTCCCTCGCGTCTCTGATGGACGAACTGCGCTCTGCCGAAGATGCCCAGGTGTTGCGCTCAGCCGCCGCCAGCTTCAGCCGCGCGCCCTCCCGGCCCGCACCCACGGCCGGCCGGACTCAGCCGCCTGCTGGAACCGCCGCCGGTCAGCCCCGAACCGCCGCGGCCGCCGGCCGATCCGCCGCAGCCGCCGCCGCGGGCGGCGACCGCCGGACTCAGCGCCCGGCCCGCTCCTGTGCCCTGTGCAAGGCGGCCGGCCGCCCGGAGAGCGACTCCCACTTCCTGAGCCGGTGCCGCTTCCTGCCTGCGTCTGACCGACGTTCCATGGCCGGTATCCGACTGATCGCCGGCTGTGATGTCGACGCCGACTTCGACGAGCCTGAGGACGACGATCCAGTATCTCCCACTCCAGCGGACGAGCACGTACGTAACGACCTGAGCGGCTCTGCCCGTCGTGTACAGCCCCATCCCTCTCCCTACCTGCCCGTGCACTGTGCTGAGCACCCGCTCCGTGTAACGCTGGATACCGGGGCCGAAATAAATCTGGTTCATGTCACCGTCGCGTCGCATATCGGTGCATCAGTGAAAAGGTCGACACAGACGGCCCATCAGGCTGACGGCCATTCACAACTCTCTGTCGTTGGTGAAACAACCCTGTCTCTGACTCGTGGGGCTCACGTGCTCACTCTCCATGCCCTCGTTGTTGAAAGCCTTGATGTTGATGTGCTGGCCGGTACGCCCTTCATGTCACTGAATGACGTGTCAGTGCGCCCCGCTGATGGTACTGTGTCTATCGGGGATGATGTTGTCTTTTATTACGTCAATCCGGCTCACAGCGCCCCTGACCCCTCCGCCCGCCGTGTCCAGTGTCTGGTTCGGTCTCCTTCCGAGACCGTCACTGTGTGGCCTGATGATTATGTCGAGCTCGATGTACCGGACATGGACCGTGACTCGCTGGTGTCTGTTGAGCCCTGGCAGCCGTCCTCCCTCAGTGACCCTGATGCCGACCCATGGCCCCGCCCAACAGTGACGTCAGTGGTGGCCGGTAAACTCCGCGTTCCCAATGACACCCGATCTCCCCTGCGTCTGAAAAAGAACTCCCATGTCTGTAAGGTGTATGCGGTGTCCCGGCCCCCTTCTCTCCCCGAGTCTCTACCGTCCTCTCCCGCCCCCCGGGCGCCGATTCAACAACCGGGATCCGAGTTAGTCTCCATAGACCCTCACGGACTCCTTTCCGACTCAGTGCGCTCGGACTTTGCCTCTGTGGTCGCCGACTATGCTTCCGTCTTCGATCCTGTCTTCCCTGGTTACAATGGCGCCGTGGGCTCCATTCACGGGGTGGTCAACATCGGTTCGGTCGAGCCGCCACAGCGCAAAGGTCGTCTTCCCCAGTACAACCGGCAGCGCTTGACCGAGCTCCAGTCTAAGTTCGACGAGCTTGAGTCGCTCGGCATATTTCAGAAGCCTGAGGATCTAGACGTGCATGTCGAGCACGTTCATCCGTCCTTCCTCGTAAACAAGCCAGGTGGGGGTACCCGTCTGGTGACCGATTTCACCGCTGTGGGCCGATACTGCCGGCCGCAACCCTCTCTTCTACCCGATGTAGAGTCAACGTTGCGCACCATTGGCGGCTGGAAGTATATGATTGTTACCGATCTCACGAAGGCGTACTTTCAGGTACCGTTGTCGCGCGACAGTCTCAAATACTGTGGTGTCGTGACCCCGTATAAGGGTGTCCGCGTTTACACCAGATGTGCCATGGGTCTCCCCGGCTCAGAGTCCGCCCTAGAGGAGCTTATGTGCCGGGTACTTGGTGACCTGATCCAGGACGGTCGGGTAGCCAAGATCGCTGATGATCTGTTTTGTGGCGGCGCCACACCCGAGGAGGCTCTCTCAGCCTTTCGATGTGTCCTGCAGGCGCTGGACCGATCGAACCTCCGTCTATCTCCCTCCAAAACTGTTGTCTGTCCTCGTTCCGTCACCATCCTGGGCTGGGTATGGTGTGAGGGCCGTCTTTCGGCCAGTCCGCACCGTATCGCCACTCTAGCATCGTGCGAGCTCCCACGCACTGTGAAAAACCTGCGAAGCTTCATCGGCGCCTATAAGGTGCTCGGCCGCGTCATTAAAGGTGCTGCGGCCCTGCTGTCGCCCCTAGATGCCGCCTGTGCGGGCCGGGAGTCTGCCGAGAATGTCTCGTGGTCTGATGAGCTCCGCACCGCTTTCACCAGAGCTCAGTCCGCCCTCAAGGGCCACCGCTCTGTCGTCCTGCCGCGGTCCTCGGACCAGCTCTGGATTGTCACCGACGGGTCCTGCAAGTCGCACGGTGTTGGTGCCACTCTGTACGTAACCCGCGGTGACCGTACCCTCCTGGCTGGCTTCTTCAGTGCTCAGCTTCGAAAGCATCAGCTACGCTGGCTCCCGTGCGAGATCGAGGCGCTCGGTATCGCCGCTGCCGTCAAGCACTTCTCACCGTACATCACCCAGGCGACGTCTCCTGTCTCCGTGCTGACTGACAGCAAACCGTGCGTGCAGGCTTTCGAAAAGCTGGGGCGGGGTGAGTTCTCCGCCAGTCCCCGGGTCACCACGTTCTTGACCACCATCAGCCGGTACTGCCTGACGGTTCGGCACCTCGCGGGGTCCGCCAATCTCCCATCAGATTTTGCCAGCAGGAATGCTCCAGTCTGCACAGACCCATCTTGCCAGGTCTGCTCGTTCGTGTCTCGCCTTGAGGAGGCCCCGGTCCGGCAGATCACTGTGAATGACGTCATGTCTGGCTCCTGTCGGCTCCCATTCACAGGCCGTAACTCGTGGCTTCACTCCCAACAGGACTGTCGGGATGTGCGACGTACTAAGGCTCATCTCTCCCAGGGCACTCGCCCCTCCCGCAAACAAACCAACATCCGCGATGTCAAACGCTACTTGCAGGTCGCGTCTCTCTCCAAGGACGGCCTGCTCGTCGTGCGTCGTGATGAGGCATTCGCCCCAGCTCGAGAGTGCATAGTAGTCCCCCGCCAGGTGATGCCTGGGCTGTTGTGTGCTCTCCATCTGAAGTTCAAGCATCCTTCTCAACACCAGCTGAAACAGCTGTTCTTGCGTTACTTTTATGCCCTCGATCTTGACTCTCATCTGGCGACCTTGTATGACGGCTCTCATCCATGTGCCTCGCTCAAGCGCCTCCCACCCCCGCTGGTAGTGAGCTCCACTTCACCGCCCTCTGCTGTCGGCGTTTCGTATGCCGCCGACGTGCTCCATTTCGGACGCCAGCTGATTCTGGTGGTGCGCGAGACGGTGACTTCCCATACCCTGACCTGTTTTATCAGTGATGAGCGCGCCTCCACGCTGGAGGAAGCCCTGATTTCCTTGTGTGTCGCTCTGCGTGCTGTGGATGGCCCGCTTATAACGGTCCGTGTGGACCCTGCCCCCGGTTTCGTCGCTCTCTCCGACAGTGAGGCCCTACATCAGGCGGGCATCAAGCTGGAGGTCGGCCGGGTTCATAATCCCAACAAGAACCCATGCGCCGAACATGCCATCGGCGAGCTCCGTGGTGAGCTCAAACGCGCCCTTCCGGAGGGCGGCCCAGTCTCTTTGTCAGCTCTAGCCATGGCCACTTCTCGATTAAATTCACGTCTACGCCGCGGCGGCCTGTCAGCCTTCGAGAGGCTGTTCTCCCGCGATCAGTACAGCCATACTGCCCTCAGCACCTCCGACCGCGAACTCATTGCCGAGCAGCAGTCCTCCAGACTGCAGAACCATCCGTATGATCACGTATCCAAAGGTCGTACTCACAGTCACGTGCCTCCGTCAGTTATCACACCCGGTGTGCTCGTGTACCATGCTGGTGATCGAGATAAGGCTCATGCTCGCCCTCGGTACCTTGTTACCAGTGTTGATGGAGACTGGTGCCGAGTGCGAAAGTTCGCCGGCTCGCAGCTTCGCGCCAAGTCGTACAAATTCCACGTGAGCGAATGCTACACCGTGCCGACCACACCCGCGCCACTCGCTACCGCTCACTCTCTGTCTGCGTCTTCGTCCGATGAGGACGAGCCCTGTCCCGTCACCACGCCGCCCCTGGGGTGTCCTGTCCCTGCGGAGATCTCTGGCGGCGCCCTCTCCACGCCGGGTCACTCCCCTCCGGCGCAACCGCCGCCTCCCGTAGCGGCGCGACGTGATAGGCGCAACATTCGACTGCCCCGTAGGTACGATGACTATGTACTTGATCCCTGGTAGCTCCGATTACATATGTTTTTGTCTCGTTAGGTCTACACGCATTCTTTTGTTTGTATGCGCTTGTTGTTGCGTCTGTGTTCCGTTCGAACCGGTTTCGGTTCAGTTCTCTGTACAACTGTTGTTTCTGTATAGTCAGGAGAAAGAAAAGGCAGTCACGCCAGTACCAGGCGGGTACTGTAATTGTGTTGTGTTGTGGCGGCCTCCTGCCTGGCGGTACCGTGGGCTGTGAGCCACGTGCCGCGCTGCAGTTCACAGCTGCCGCCGGCTGGCCGCCGACCGGCAGTCACCGCGGCGCCGCTGAGCGTCTGGCATTGCGTATCGCTGTCGCTTATGTGTTAAATATAACTGCTCTCACTGGAAGCCGACTCCACTCTTACTAACTGGCGCACACTTGTCAGTATTGATTCGTAAGCCCCAAGAGATAGACGTGCTGTAAAGAGTGTCTATGTCTGTTTGTACCTGTGTTTCATATTCGCCTTGCGTAAGTGAGTGTCTCCTATCAGTACTAGCAGGGAGACACCGGTTGGTCAAGTGACTCGGAAACAAAAATCAGCTGATAGAGTGGCGGAATCGCCGTTATCAGACACGAATAATTCCGGACGATAGAGCGGCAGTATAGGAGTCTTCTTCACAACAGGCAAACATTGCCATGTTTATCATTCAATGATCAAGAAACGTTCATAAATTATATATTTCTTCGACGATTACCGCCGCAACCAACGCGCACATATCGTTACCAGCACATAAAGCTGTGCTTTGCGATATTATTTGTAAAGAAACGGCCAATACCTATGTACTAATTATGTGTAACAAAGCTCGAAAACGATAGCATTCTATCTTGCTTCAGCCTTCTACTTACGCTTTTATAATTACGACAACGACACCATACGGCCTATCGACAATATGCAACTCCGTGGAGCGTCCGGCCGCACTCTGCAGAGTGTGCCGAGATCGGTGGCGGACCATCCGCGGCCGTCCACCTGCGCTGCCCCGTGCCCGACCGCTGGATGGGCGACGCCGACGCCTAGCTCGTCTGGATACCATCCACTCAACGGTTACACAGATGCAAAAAGACGACTGGGCGGTGGCCGCCAGCTGCGCACACAACTAAGCTACTTGGCTACGCCCTCTCGGGGAGGGGAGGGAGGAGCAACAACCGTTAACAGTCTGAACTCTGATGAGCCAATGGAGTCTGTGAGCCGCACCAATCAGCGCTGTTCCGCGCGTAGACGGGAGCTCTGTTTTCGCTGGTCCGTCAGTCACCAGCATCGTTCCGTGCTCTCGCTCATAGCTATTCGGCCGTGTTTTCGAGTGTAGGTCAGCAAAAACAGTGAGAGAGATTCTCGGATCGCGCCAGTCGGTCGCAAGGGTATCTATTGTCTATGTGCTTTCCAGTATTGCAAACGTTATTGTTAGGAGCCGAGGGTAATCAGCAGTCGACGCATTTGTTCTGTTATAATAAAATTGAAAATAAGGCGAGGTATATTCACTTAAATTCACATATCACCTTTGATTTTTTGGCACGGACTACTTGCCCCTGCTACAGCACACAGCCGATCTCTATGTTTCTGTTCCAGAGCTGCAGTGGACACGGCAAAAATACACTTCCGTTCTAAAAATTAATCCAAAAGTACACAGATTTCACGACGAACTACCACTTTCATACCATTTTCTTGCTCACAGGTGCTCAGCAATAAGCGCGCGACTGATTGCAGCTAGTGCACTCACGATTACTAGTTCGCGCTCGCCAAACCTGTCATTTACATCCACCACCAATACCATCAACATCTGTCCAATTTAGTACCTATTGCCATATCGAGCCAGAATGAGACCACGACATATTATCGTCCTATTACATAGCACAAATTCAGGGGTGTGGGGGGGGGGGAATCCGTAAAAATACCAAACTCCAATCACAACCAACATCGTTTTGGGACGGGGAGTCGAAGCCGGGGCTCGCTCGTATCGACGTATCCTTCACATATCTGGGCGTCTCACTCCTTTCGACACTTAATCAACCCTGGCACACCATCCACCGGGCCCTCCGACCATCTTGAGTTCTATACTGAGATCTGATAACTGACCGTCATTTGTTCCTATCAGTCAGCGCGCACTATGCCTTAGCACAGCAAGTGCACTATGCGGCCTTCCTTAGATACCGCCTCGGAGCAGGGCGCTGGTCCTGGGTGCCTGGCGCCTTTTGTTCGTGTACGGCTAGCAGCATTTTCGGGGTTCGATGGTTTCCGCAGTGGCGGCGCTGGTCACCGTGGAGCCGTCGGAAGACACCGTCAGATGAAGCGCCCGCAACTGGTGACCTGTGACACAGCGAGTCGCGACACGTCAGGTCTCACGACGACCGTCCCGTTTCGGTCGCGACGGCCGTTATATAAATAGTCACGGCGGCCGTCACATACCAGGCACAGTGACCGTTACACACGAGCCAATGCGATCGTCAATTAGCAGTCACGGCGACGTCACAGGTTGCTACGGTCGTCAAATTTCCGCCACGGCGACGACAACTCATAGCTCATATCGTTTCCTGTCGCACACTTCGCCGTAATTGCAATACACTAGCCTGTTTATACGTTTATCACTCAAAAGTCGTAGCCCGAGTCTGAGACCCATCATACGTCACGATCCCTGCAACGGCACCTGCATTAGCAGGCATCCCGTCCCGGCAACACACAAAGTTCTCTCCACTCTCCAGCCACTCACCTAGGGACTTGGGGGGGGGGGGGGGCGAAGTAATCTTGGGGGTGACATAGCCAGGACGTGTAGTCGAGCTGCCGTCGGCGGGCGTGCCACGAATGGCCGGCGGACCTCCGTCGGCTGGCGGGCCACCATCAGCCGGAGGGCCGTAGTCGGCCGACGGGCCGGTGTCGGTCGACGAGCCACCGTCGGCCGGCGGGCCGGTGTCGGCCGGCGGGCGGGCCACTGTTGGCCTTTGAGCCGGCGTCCGTCGGTTGGCCTCCGTCCGCTGGCGGGCAGTCTGCATAACAACAAATAGTTGAATTAGTTACTCTAGTGTTCACTGTTCAAGTTCATTGGTTACTCTTCATCAAAATTATGTTTCTTTATAATCTTTAATGTAAAAAACTGAAGTTTCACCATTACTCTGGACACTGTGCTGAAATTTCAGCGCAATCCGCCTGTTACACCCGACATAATGATGGTAACCTGGTTTATATGTGATAATTGATATGTACCTACGACATTATATTTGCTCAATTAATTTTTCTCATCTGCACTGCTGAAAGTGTTTCACTGAAGACGTTGGTAACGATAAGGCAGACGTAGCACAAGCTTCTTCTTTCTTCTTCTTCGTGGATTAGGGCGCGTAGCCAATAACAGGTTCAAGGTTGTAGGTTAATACGCATTCCCGCCCAAATGGCAGCTCGTGCTATGTTCGACCAACCGATACCAAGACGTCTTCCCTATGAGACAAAACATTTATAATCATTAATGAAGAATATACTTAATATGGTTTACAATTTACATAGCTTTGCTTGATACATTTTTTCATGGTCCTTTTGATCAGGTTGTAGGTAATACGCATTCCCGCCCAAATGGCAGCTCGTGCCTCGTGCTATGTTCGCTTAACCGATACCAAGACGTCTTCCCTGTGAGACAAAACATTGATCACAGTATATAAATAACATTTATAATCATTGATGAAGAATATACCTAATATGGTTTAAAATTTACATAGCCTTGCTTGATACATTTTTTCATGGTTCTTTTTGTCTCAGACCTCACTGCTCTAGAGGCCAACTTGAGTCATTCCCAGTGTGAGAGGCGAGCTCCAGCCTTCCAGGCTTGAGAGCCTGCCTCCGCCTATGGCGGCCGCCGTCACGTGACCTGCGCCTCGGAGGTCGCGGGGCGCCGCCCGCTGGCGGCCAGTCTTTGCTCGGTGAGTGACGCGCGCGGATCTCACACTGGTGGCAGCGTAGTGAACGGTGCATCGCCGGTGATTGGACGTGCGTACTCGGTGAACAGACGCACTGTGTGGAGTGTGGACATTGATTATGGCAGAACGAGGCTCGGACAAGCTGGTGTGGGGGGAAGGAGAGACGATACAGGATTATTTGCGGCGCGTGGATGCCTATGCGCTGTTGGGGGATGAAAAGAAGACCATCGGGAAGACTCTTCTGGGACTCGGTCATCGCATCAGCGTCATCGACTCGCTCAGCGATACGGACAAGAGCTCTGTGACGAATCTGAAGGCGGCCCTGCTGAGAGAGTTCGGCGACACAACCCAACAGAGCCAGCGGCAGTTCCTGACCAGACGGAAGCGGGACGGTGAGACGTACGGCATGTTTCTCTCAGCGCTTCGAGTACTGTTTCAATCTGCCTATGCATCGAGCCCAGGTCAGTCCAACACCGATGAGAATTCGGCGGTGGGGATGGCTCTGATTAAGTCGACGTTCCTGTCGGGTATTGATAGCGGGGTGGCTGGGCAGCTCCGTCTACAGTTCCCAGACGCTAATATCCAAGATTTGCCAACCCATGCGAGGGCAATTGAGGAGGCTATGGGGCTGCGGAATGGAAAAGCGGACGTTTGTCAGGTTGCCGAGCAGTCTGGGAAGCCGGACCAGATTGCTGCGCTTCGCTCAGAGGTGCAAACCCTGACAGAGGCTGTCAACGCCATGCGCTTCGTCGATGCTGGTCGGGGCCGCGCGGCTATGCCGGTGCTCGGACGCGGCGGCGGCGCTGAGCCGGGTCGCGGTGGAGCGGCCCGGCGTGGGTCACGTGTCCCGCTCGGGGCGCCGCCGGCCGCCCCTGTCTGGACAGCGGCTGGGCGCAGTGGCGCGCACAGGGTCGGGACCTGGGAGGGCGGCCCCGGCGGAGCGGGGCGGGGATGTGACACTGACGCACGGGGAGTCACGTGCTGGACGTGTGGCGAGCCAGGTCACGTGCAAAGGTGGTGCACGCGCGCGCCTCTGGCAAGGGGCCGCGGACGGCCAGCGCCCCTGGTATGCTGGGCGTGTGGCGAATTCGGGCACACCCGCTACCAGTGCTCTACAACATATTTAAACTGAGAAGGGTCGCTGCCACGGAGCGAGCGGCGGCCTCTGGGACAATGGAAGCTCCCCTAAGGACGTCGAACACGCTACACGTACGGGGAAAAATTGGGAAGCTGGACTGCACGTGGATGGTGGACACGGGCGCGTCAGCCACTTGTGTGTCAGCCTCCCTGCCGGGGATTCAGGCGATGCACCACGAACCCGCTGATGTTAGACTCGTGGCCGCCAACGGCTCGCCGCTGGTGTGTCTGGGTGCGTTATGGACTGACGTAATGTTAGGACCAGGACTGATTCGGCACGGCATTAAGGTGTGGGTTGTCGAGGATTTGTCAGCTC